GAGTCTATGCGAGGCTGGGCTGGGGGGCTGAGTGCCAAGTGCATGCACCTGTGCGCCTCAGCCCAGCAGGTCAGTCCGTGGGGGAGGGGCGGGGCGGGGCTAGATGGAGGCCCGCCGGTGAGGGCCAGTGCCGCAGAGGCAGAAGCAGGGGACCGCGGGAGGAAGCCGGTCCCCGGGCGGGCAGCGGCGCTAACCTTTCTTCTCTCCGCGCGTCATGGTGTCCAGGCGGCGCCGGTACTGCGCGCAGGGGGCACCAAGGCTAAAGGGGAGAAGAGACTGTAGCGAGTCCCGGCCCGGCCCGCGGCTCCCCCAGCTCCCCAGCCACAGACCCACTCCGCGCGAGCGGCTTCCGCTGACGACGGCGGGGGGGCGACGACTTCCGGCTAACAGACACGCGCGACGTCACTTCCCTTCTTCCCCTCCGAGCGCTTCCGTTTCCGGGCCACGCGGCTCTCCACCAATCACGCTCGTCGGGGCGGGGATTGCGTTGCCTGGAAGCGGCTTGGCTGCAAGCGGCGTCTGTCTGAACCGGGGCTGCGTCCACTGGACCACGGGACCATGGTGAGCGCCGCGGGGGCGGGGGGCGTCACGGTGCTCAGCGGGACGTCCTCCATCCCCCCTCCCCCGCGGGATGGTCCGCTCCATCCCTTGGCTGGAAGCTTCCCTGCCCGCCTCCAGCGGGGGAGAGGGCTATACCACTGCCGGGGGCGGGGGTGGAGTGTACCACTGCCGGGGGCGGGGGCTGCTGAAGGGGGCGGAGGCAGGCGGCTCGAGGGCACCCTCTGCGTCACGGAGTCCTCTGTGACGTGAGTCCGCCTCTTCGTTCGAGCGGCCGCGATTGGCTGGAGGAGAGCTGCGCCGGGCGTTCTCAGTCCCACCCTGAGCCGGGCTCGGCCGGGAGGCACCTCGTGACGTCATCCAGCCCGGGTAGGCAGGACCAGCATGTGGGTGATTTCGGGTCCTGTTCAACCTGAGTTTTAAAAAGTTTTCACCCAAGACCCCCCGCATAATCTGAAAGGTCCAACTAATCTCCAGCCTCAATTTCCGCTGCTGCACCTTGAGGCCAGTGTTCCGACTCCTGCCCCTCCACTGCAGGGCTGGATCAGGCCCGCAGCAGACTCCATTTCCCAGTGGCCCCTGCCCGTGTTGCTGTGGCCGGTTTCTATGGAGACCCCAAGAGCCGCGGGGCCATGACCCTGCAGGGCCAGGGTTTCCAAGCTGCACTGGCAGGGCATGTGGCTGGGTGGGGAGCTGCTTCGGGGCTCGGGCTGCGATCTGGTGGCGGTGACTGCACAGGGCAGAACTGCGATGCGATGCGCTGCACGCATGCTCCAGTGGTTGGCCGGTGGTTTGTCTACCCCTGCCCTACAGCCATAGAGAAAACCCCATCTCCATCCCCTCTGTAAACACCCTTCAGGCATCTGAAGCCTGTTGTTAGATTCCCCCACCCCATTTCTCTTCTCCATGCTAAATACCTATTGGCTAGATTCCCACATGTATTTCAAGGCAAGAAAGTTATTTTGAAACCTAGTTTAATCTAAATTTGATGTATGTCATTACAAGTAGTCTTTTTGCTACTCCTTTGGATGATTTTAATAAAATTCATAAGAAGAAGTAATTGTTATGATATTTTAGCTTTATTTTTTCACGCTGTGGTTACAGTCCATTGCCAATAATGCTTCTAAACCACAGTGACAACGGAAGTTGCACTTTGATTGATGTTGGTCAGCAGAAGAGTCTGATACCATTTCGAGACTGAATTACTTTTCCAGAAAAACAACATTCATCCCCGGGAGCTGGGCAAAGTGATTTCACTTACTGATGTCAATCCTAGTTCTTTCAGCCTGTCCACATGTTACAGGGCTCCTTTCCCCAGTCTGTGCAGGGGAGTGGCAGTGACTTGTGTCAAATTATATGACAATGTTGAGTGATTCCAATCTGACTACATTCGAAACACTCTGCATCTCCTAAAATGAGGAGATGTGGGGCAGCACATAGCAAAGAGATAAAGTACTGTATTGGGGGAGCAGGAAGGGTCTGTTCTCTCAGGCCTGAAAGTAATGCCAGGGCAGAGCTGTGCTTCTGTGTGTTTTAAAAGTGAAGGTGTCTTGTGTGCTGAGCTCCTAAACCCTGTTGCTCTGTGTCTGTGGAAGATGTCTGCTGTGGTCCTTGTAGGCATTCTGTTCCTGTTTGGTGTGGGCAACTAGAGAAGGGGAAAAGCAGGGTCTAGTCATGACACTGGATTGGGATTTAAGAATCTGAATGTACAAGCTGTGGCCAGGACAGTCCTGAGCACACTGCCCATCTGCTCCTGTTGATGTACTCCAAACCTGGAAGTATGTTTGTTAGGCCACCCTTAGGTTGCCCCTGGTGTCCACTCTGAAGCATACTGGAGATTGAGAGATCTTCCCTGTAGTGGTTTCACTGGCACATTTCTGGGCTTGCAGCATGTCAGGAGTGAGTAGGCAAGGGTGTGCTTAGGACTGTCCT